CCAGTCTGGGCGACAGAGTGAGACTCCAACTCAAAAACAAAAACAAAAACAAAAAAAAACAAACAAAAAAATTAGCCGGGTGTGGTAGCGTGCACCTGTAGTTTCAGCTACTTGGAAGGCTGAGGAGGAAGGATCGGCGGAGCCCGGAGCCCAGCAGTTGAGACTGCGGTGGCCGGGAGTGTGCCACTGCACTCCAGTCTGGCGACAGAGTGAGACTCCAACTCAAAAATAAAAATAAAAACAAAAAAAGTTAAGACAAAGAGTGAATTAAGGGGTTTGTCTTGGATTGTGATAGGGAAACATGAAACTTTTTTACGAGACATCAGAAATACATTCATTGCCAACAGAAACATGTAGATGTATCCAACACAATTTTGGATGCCATTCCAAAGAGATTCCTTACCCTAATCTGCCACAGCAGTAAATCTCTCTTTGGTTACCTTACCCAATTGAGGACACAGAAACCCAGATGACCCTCAGACCTGGACAGTGAGGTTGGGGTGCTCCCTTAGGTACTTTTGCCTATGTAGCATGTGGCTGATGAGCATTAGAAGGAATCTCAGTTCTTTGAATATCAGATCAAAGTGGAAATTTTATTATTCCAAAGTCCTGCATCATTTTGGTGCAGGGCTTTTTCATCTCAATTTAATGAAGCATGGCTTGTCTCTCATGTGTAAAGTTTGATCATCTTAGAGTGAGTTTTTCCAGTGAGGTGTATCTGTACAGATATGACAAAGGCAGTGCATTCTGACAGGAATTTACTAACTTACTACTAATTACTAACTTGCTAGTTAATCAGGACTAAGAAGTCACCTCATTGGTATTGTATCCATAGCAGAGATGGTGTTCCCATTCTGTCTGGGGAGCATTTCTTTTGGAGGCCAAGGCCTTTTCCCTTACCCTGGCCATTCTCTGAGTGTAGATTTGAGAATCAGTGGTCTAGAGTGAGATGCTTTCCAATGTTGAAGAGGCATACACTCCCTAATTGCACCTGGGTCCACGACCTGGTGACTCTACCTACTGCCTTTTTACTACTGCTGCTCACAGAGCCTGCCATGTCATCTGTGGTCTCTCATTCCCACCTTTCCTCAAACCTGTCACATTTCATTTTAGGACTTGGACTTTGAGGAGATGTAAATGTTAGGGCATGTCTTCTCATTGAATGATTAAATTTGGGTGCAAGTGACTTCCTTCAAGCATGCTCACCCAGGCTTCAGGTTTTCTGTCATCCCATTTTCATTGTCACCAGGGGAGGGGTTAGGAGAATCAAAGTGCCTCCTCTCAAGGACAGCAGTGGGACCAGGGCCAGTGGTTCTTTGAAGGCTAAGCACATCTTCTTCAAAACAGGTGATGAGCTCATCTTCTTGGACCCTCACACAACCCAAACGTTTGTCGACACTGAAGAGAATGGAATGGTTGATGACCAGACTTTCCATTGTCTGCAGTCCCCACAGAGAATGAACATCCTGAACTTGGATCCTTCCGTAGCATTGGTGAGTATCTGAAGGCTAGGGGGCCAGGAGATACGACACCACTTTGGTTCCCTGAGAGTTATCTAGGTTGCTGGGTAGGGTGGCAAGAGTATGTTTGCTCACTACTCTAACAAGAGGCTGTGATGTACTGAGGAAGGAATGGACCCTGGAGGCAAACTGCTCCAGTTGGAATCTTGCCTCTGCCACTTACTAGCTATGCACTTAGGAGAAGTCACTTAATCTTTCTGAGCCTTGATCTCATCTCTAAAATAAGGAAAACAATAGCTCCTTTCTTGTACGCTTGTATTAGGTGCAGTGTGTGTAGCACAAGGCCTGGCATGTTTTGTAAGCATTCTATAAGTGTTAGTTATTATCATCTTTCCCTCTTTTCTTTCTTGGCTTCAAATTATGCCACACGGGCATGGGGAATAAGGTGAGACATAGCTAGGGAAAGACCTCCTGGGTGCATACAATCTGGGAAGTTGCAAACTTTTTTTTGCCAGAATTATGATTGCTGTCTACACACATTGAAGGGCCATCTGCCTGTAAAGTAGCCAGTGGATCTGAGACCTGTCTGCATCCTCTCTTCCAGTTTAATCCAACTGTTAGGCCACCAGTGACCAAGAGCTTAGAGTTCTCCTCTTTTTTTCTTTTTTTCCTGAAGACATGTCTGCAATAGAGTTCTCTCATGAACCATTCTTTTACTATTGTGGGATGTCTCTGAGGATGGGGAAGGAGACTGATGGTTGTCTCTATTCTAATAGATAATTTACTGAAGGTCAAAGTCACCTTGTTAAGTATTGCCTCTAGCTAAAAGTACTATTTGGCTTTTGTTTGCTAGTTTAATTGGATAGTCCTAGTGGATGTATATATTTGTGCATTGAATGTGCTGGAATTAACTTCATACTTTGAAGACTTGTCTTCAAGTTCAGATATCTCACAGCACCGGGGGAGAGGGATGGGGAAAAAGGGAGGAGAGGAGAGGGATGGGGAAAAAGGGAGGAGAGAGGGACAGGGGATAAAGGGAAAGGTTCAGAGAGCAAGAGTCGGAGGGAGAATGAGAGTAAGAGGGCAATGTGTGTGCTCAAGTGAGGCAATGAGTTAGGAGGTGAGTGAGAAGCCCAGCCACATCCTAATTCTGGATGACAGCTCCATCTTGCAATACAAAGGGCAATTCTAAATTATGTTATTTTGCTTCCCCCAAGGGATTTTTCTGCAAAGAAGAAAAAGACTTTGATAACTGGTGTAGCATTGTTCAGAAGGTAAAGATGTATTTTTTTTTATTCTTAAAAAATGAAGTTACTCAATCTGATTCCTTTTGTTTTTCATAGTAACAAAAAAAAAGTCTGTTATGACTTTATTGCAAGACAAAGAGACTAAAGCAGCAAAGAAACTATCAGGTGTGGGGAACTGTGCGTAACTTTGGGGGAACCAAAAAAAAAAAAAAAACCACTTTTGTTTGAAATACGCTTAGTATGTCAAATAAGTGGCATTTTTAGTGATTAAACAATGTTTCATCTCATTAAGCCTATGAGTCAAATAAAATAAAAATATTCAGCTAATATTCTACTGTTTTAACCTAAAATGTCAGTTTTATATTGCTCAGACTAAATTCTTCCTTATTCTGTTCATAACACTGAATTGGCTCAATAAACTAAAGCATTTTTCTATTTGTTTAGTAGTCCATTTACAGCTTAACGTATTCTATCATGGTTTAAAAGCCTTGCCCTTCAAGTACTGTCTTATTTATATACGATATAGGCATGCCACTGCTTAAAGGAAACACAATTTGCAGAAACCTATATAAAGTTATTGTTTCTTTTTGGTATTGGTGTAAAAGGGAATTATTTCGTTGACTCACCAATCTTTGATCTTCCTCACTCATCCTCAGCCTCTGACACATGCAAAATATATGTATGACTTTGATAAATGCTTATTGAAATAATGAAGGGAGATCATAGGAAGCCAGACAGTTGCCGGCCTATGATTTTTTTGACTTTACAATGGTGTGAAAGCTATATGCATTCAGTCAAAACCGTACTTTGAATTTTGATCTTTTCCTGGGCTAGCAAAATAGTACAGTACAATACTCTTTTGTGGTGCCAGGCAGCAGCAGTGAGCCATAGCTCCCAGTCAGCCATGCAACCATAATGGTAAACACCCAATACTCTACAGTGTAGTACTGTGTTTCCAGAATTTTTTGGACATTGCGTTGTTTGTTTTTGCATACCATTCAACCTACTCAATGCCCATTTTCGAGTTGTGATATTTTTAACTTACGATGGGTCTATTGGGCTGTAACCCATTATAAATTAAGGAGCATCTGTCGTCTAAAGGCCCTGGATGGGGTAGAAGGAAACATGCTGACATCTACAAAATCAAAGGACTGGAGAAATGGAAGCCCAAAGCCTTTGGTAGTGAAAGGAAGAAATATTTTTTTTTCACAAGTGAACAAATAATTAATATGAATGTCCCTGACTATATCCAAAACTTCAGTTAATTTGCTGAGACACAATATAAAATTATTATTATTATTTTTTTTATTTTTGAGTTGGAGTCTCACTCTTGTCGCCCAGGCTGGAGTACAGTGGCATGGTCATGGCTACCGCAGCCTCCACCTGCTGGACTTAGACAATACTTCCGCCTCAGCCTTCCAAGTAGCTGGAACTACAGATGCACATCACCATGCCCGGCTAGTTTTTGTGATTTGTTGTTGAGACGAAGTCTCACCAAATTGCCCAGGCTGGTCTTGAACCCCCAGGCTCAGGCAATCCTCTCGCCTCAGTCTCTCAAAGTGCTGGGGTTACAGGCTGAGCCACTGTACCTGGCCTATAAAATTGTTTCCTAAAGTTAGTTCTTACATTTCAGAATGTAACAAAACTATTTACATCACATTTAAAGGTAGAATGAAAATGTTCTGATAAGACTATGCCATTTAAATTAGGATATATACCATAAATGTGGAACTACAAGTAAAACCATACCAATATGCAGCAATATTCTCTTGGAGCAAATTTAATTTGGCTGGCATTTCTTTGGAGCCAATACTCCAAGAATATCTCACCCCTAAATTGAGCAGGACCTGTCCATCTGTCACACGGCCTGTGCTTTATGATGGCACATGGACAATGAGTACTGGCCTCCAGCAGATACTCCCTCTAGTATCTTTCCTTCCTGGTTAAACAGTATGTAGAATTGAAGACGCTGGGTCTTTGATGGTTCAAGCAGAGGACGGGTGTATTTGCTAGGCCTTTGTTTTCACCTGTCAATCGCCAGGCCACTCCCCTTAGGATTTGGGGTCATAGATTGCCAACTAGATAGAAATGTTGTGACTCTGCAGTGTTTACAGCTGTTTCTGTATCTCCCAGGAAATTCTAAAGGAGAATTTGAGGATGTTTGAATTAGTTCAGAAACATCCATCTCACTGGCCTCCCTTTGTACCTCCAGCCAAACCGGAAGTGACAACCACTGGGGCAGGTAAGCTATTGTTCAGGGGCTCTAGGACAGCAGACGTGTGTGTAGCAATTGTTTTATTAGGCAGAAGGAACTGTGGCTCATGCTTTCTATGGGAACTAAAATTTCTACTCAGCTGGACTGATCAAAATAATGGTGCTTCTGGTTATTTTCATCTTCTGATATTCACCAATTTCAAAGAATGATAAAAGAAAAAATTAGCTCATTGCGAAAGTTTGATGCTAAATCAAGATGACTAGAATTGTATTTTCATGATTTCGTTCAGAATAACAAATCGAGGCCATGGGTGATTCAGAGGTACCTCAAAGGCCTTGCAGAGCCTCAGTGACATCACTGTGATCAGGTTTATGTAATAAGTCCGTTATTTTGAGTCTTTACAGAGAATTTCCAATACTTGGCAGTGGCCCTAATTGTATCGTCTCCGGATAAGCTTTTTGTTAGCAAAGCAATAAAAAAAAGCATAGTTTTAACTACTGAGTAATATATTTTTATTGATCACTTTAACTCAAGTGTCAAGCTGTTCTTCCTTCTCATTTCTGTACTCTGATAGAGTTCATTGACACTACTGAACAACTGGAGGAGTTTGACCTGGAGGAAGATTTTGAGATTCTGAGTGTGTAGGATATTGGGAACTCAACTTGGAGGTCTGTCTTTCATCTGTCATGATAGGAACATGAACTTATTACATAAAACTTTTCTAGTCAGCAAGTGCCTGATATGCCAACAGCATACAAGCTCAATAGCAATCATGACTGAGCCAATCACCATTTCTCAGAAATAAATAAAACAAACAAATGACAACAACCTTTCCCCAGAAAGAACCAAAACAATCATGGAGTCTAGGAGCAGAGACATGACGAGGAGTCCATTGCTTCCCAGCTTGTCTTACATGGCTACATCAAGTCTTCACCTGCTTAAAATTAGATGGACATCTGGAAGACCGACAGAAACCCCCAGCTTGCTTTATGCACCAGCAGGTGACAGGTGGTTACACTGCTCTTCTTCACCCTTTCAGGTGCGGTCTCTTTGGGGCTAAATACTAAGAAGCAATTTGTTCTCTTGCTCAAATAATAAAGTGACTGAATCAGGGAGGAAGAGGTTCTTGTTAAATTATTTGAACATGTATTTTAAATAGTTATAATTTATATCAAAATGTTTGTCAAAAAAATGATGTCACATGTATACTTCCTGATCTACCTTCCTATTTAGGGGAAACTATTTGATGGGCCACTGTCCCCATCCTTAACTGATACTTTTGTCAGATGTCACCCTGTCCTTAAATCAAATCATGATCGCTTGAATCAGAGGTCAGCAAACTTTTTTTGTATAGAACCAGATTGTAAGTATTTTAGGCTTTGCAGGCCATGCAGCCTCTATCACAACTACTCAACTTTGTTGTTGAAGTGCAAAAGCAGCCATAGACAATATGCACGCAAATGAGCATGTCTGTAATTCAATAAAACTTTATTGACAGAAACAGGTGGATGACTGAATTTGGCCTGCAGGCAACTGTACCCTGCCAATTACCGACTTAAATTGTTGATTTTTTTTGAGAAATTAAAAATAAATTGTGTTTGAACTATACTCTGTTTTGGTTAACAACCATTTTAGAAGGAATTATTAATGTGGTATATCACACATTTAATCTATGCATCAAATACAATTTCACACTATTTTAGGACTAGCAATATACTAAGTTTTAAAGCACATATCCATCAAAACAGCTTTGCTAACTACTTTCCTGTTAGGATGCATCTCAAGTTCCAGCAATATATTTTCCTTTCCTTGCTCTCTTAACTTGTCTGCATTTCACCTCTATCCTTAAGTGAGTCCTGAGGAAGGCCAGCAACTGGGGTTCAGAAGCTAGCATCAAACCAATTCACTTGTTCCCTTGGATCTTCTTTTTTTCTAATAAGTAATATAGTCCAGTGGTTTGAAAATCAAAAGATGAAAAATGGCATTTGGTGAATTGTCTCTCCCTCTTATAAGTCAGTTTCCTTCCCTGAAAGCTCCCAGTGTTATTAATTTCTTGTTTATCCTTCCAGAGAATGTATTTTATGCATATGTAAATATATGCAAATGTTAAGTATATAGACCTATAAATATATGCACACACACATCTATAGTTTAGATTTGATTTTAATGACTTTAACATTTCTCTACTTTTGATTTTTCTGCAAGCGAACCTGAGGCCACAGAAGTATAGAAAAACTGTCCTTTTTTTTTTGAGTTGGAGCATCACTCTATCGCCCAGGCTGGAGTGCAGTGGCACACTCACAGCCACTGCAGCCTTGACCTGCTGGGCTCTGGTGATCCTTCTGCCTCAGTCTTCCAAGTAACTGGAACCACAGGCACGCACCACCACGCCTGGCTATTTATTTATTTATTTATTTATTGTAGACATGAGGTGTCTGGGCTGGTCTCCAACCTGTGGGCCCAGGCAATCCTCTCATCTCTGCCTCCCAAAGTGCTGGGATGATAAGTGTGAGCCACTGTACCCGGTGGAAACACTCTTCTTGAACTCTAGCATGTGATGAGGATAAAAGCAGGTGTAGGCTTATCTTGAAGCAGATTGTGGGTTTGTTGACTGCTACAGGACTCTTTCAGCCCTTTGATTTTGATCATCTTTTCATTTTTTTACTGCCTTGATGTTTTGTTACAGAGTTCAACTTGCAGTAATAGGAACTTCCAAGGCTCTAAGGGGCACTCATAAATTGTAGTGAGAATCAAAGAATGTCAAAGAGTCAAATGTCCACGTTTCATTTCTTTTATTTGCTATGTACAAAGCTGACACCATGTTTATTACTCAGCCAGGAGGTGAATATAACAATTCAGATTATACTGATTATGATTTGTCTGCATTGGCACAGTTTACATAATACGTAAGGAAACAGAAGAATCACCTGGAAGGAATCGCCTCATGTCAACATAGCTAAGAGTATTCTAGGAAACTGGCTAAAACAAATCCCCCCAAATGGAATATAATGTACTTTATAGCCAACTCAGGCTTGCTTTAGGTCTGCTAACTGCTCAAGAGAGGAGTGTGCTAGATTTTTATGAGGTTTAAAAAACATATTAAAGTAGTTTAACAGGCTACCTGTGAAAGAGCAGTTGGATAATCATTTCAACGGAAAGTCTCTAACAGAGTCAGAATGCAAAGGAACCAACAGACTGCAGTTTCAATTTGGCAGATTGCACACATCTGGATGGCATTTGGAATAAACAGGGACTTCTGAGAAACTGGGACATGGGCTTTATCTTTTTGTTCCTGGAGTCAGAAGCAAAACTCACATCTCCTTCCCCATCTTCCCCTCTACCCCTGGCCCAGGAAGGGCTGCCATTCTCATTTCCTTTCATGAGCTTGGCCACATTTGTTGTATCCTCTGCTATATTTTGGACCAGGCCAAGTCCTCTGTCTCTGGCCAGGGAGGGGGCTGGCAAGGAGGAAGTCGTTTGTCTAGGACCATAGAACGTTAATGAGCCCCTCTCAGCTGCTGGCCTTCAAACCTCCCTAAGCAATATGGGTTCTGATCTGGCTCACTCTTGGAGTCAAAGCTCAACCAGGGCTACTGGCTGGGACCCCATTCCAATTTTACCTGCATAGACACAGTGGGCCTCCTTGAATAGTGAGGGCTTGCCCTCTGCAGACTTGAGCTGTCCACGAAGGTTCAGCCTGATATTTTTTTGAATGTGGTAACACTGGGTTCTAGTTAAGCCAAATAATGTGTAGTAACCTCTCGACATGAAGAAATGACATATTAGTTATTATGAAGAGCTTTCTGGTCAAGATAGTGAGGAAAGCTAGCAATCTAAGAAAGTGGTGGCCCAGCAAATCTTTCTGAGGTAGCCATGAATAGTCACACTAACATCCAAATTAAACAGTAGCACCAGGTTGACTGAAATGGGACAGCAGATCTCAGCAAGGTGGGCTTATATATTTTGGCCTGAGAGTTGGGGTGACCAGTGTCCAGTAGTCCAGCCCAAATGAGACTCCAATGTACAACTTGACAGGCAAAAGGGCTCAGGCCTTCCTTCTTCAGACCATTCAGGTTCGTGAGGTGACTGTTGTGAGGGGGAGGGGAGAGCAGGGGGCAAAGTGGCAGTTGCCGCCCTACAGGCTTTTCATACACACCTGGCAGCGACTGATCCGGGTGTGGAGCTGCCCAGCTTTCAGTGTTTCAGACACAGGCTCCTCCCCAAACTGCTGCCTCTCCTCCACTGTTGTCAGCCAGAAACTGTACTTGTTGGCAAAGTAGTGGCAGGTGCCTCTGGCACCACTGCACTCGATGAAAGGAGTGGCCCGAAAGTCCTCTAGGCAGGAGCCAGGTGAGACCAGAGACTGGCCTCCGCCCTCGGCACCAGCGGCAGTATGCTGGAACAGACAGGAGGTTGGTATGTCAGCTGCATCTGCCAGAGCTTGGCATGGGGAGGTGATGGGTGCTTTGCTGCTACCAGGGGGAACATGTGCTCTGTTTCTAAGCCCTGCTCCCTTGGTTCTGCCTCAGCTTCAGGCCAGCATACTTAGGGGCAGAGGCTGCTCATCCTCCCTCATGGCAGCTTTCAGGGCCAAGAGTACTCCCCTCCAAACTCCCTAGTGCCCTCCTAACCCTTTATGCATGAACAACGACTGCATCGTAACCAGTGTTTTCCAAACCATTGCTGTCGCACTGAATTCAGAGGCATGTTAGGTGCCCCCTGCAAAATTTCCATGGAGAAATTAATCTGGGAAAGGCTGAATTAAGAAAAATTCAAAAGATTTCTGGACTACAATTCTCAGAGCCCTCTGTAAACTATGCAGTAGACTCTAAGAAGGGAAAGAGCTGGAACCTATTGGATTTTCCTTACTTTGTTGTATCTGGCCTAAATGCCCTGGCTTTCACATCAGAGGGCTCCCTCAGCATTCAGATTCAGGGCTACACATGAGCCAGTAGTCACAGTTACTATTCCCATAGACAGCAGTCCCCGTCCCTCCACACCCTCACCCCTTTCCCTTTACATTAGTTGGGTTATCATCTGGACCACAGGAGGTTGAGAAAAGACTTAATACACACCTGAGTCAACAAATGTCCATGCTGGACACACAGGGACCCCTGACTTTGAAGAACTTTCAGAGTCTCCATGTGACCTTTCCTGATAACTGCAGCATCAAAGTTTTCCTCGTTTGACCCTCAGAATAAAAAACTTTCTAAAATGCACTACACATCTTCCTGCTTTGCTAAACAGCAGACACTATGTATTTAAAACTTTGCAGATGACTCAGGCTCGTCATTGTGAATGTCAGTTTTTGTGTAGGGCCATACCAAGGGGTGCAGCCAGTGAAATTCTTGGGCCTCCTTTGAATTGTTTTCTCCCTCTTTTCTCCCTTTTAGTAGGCTTGTCTCGTTGATTTAAGATGCCTTTCAAGGCAGTCTAAATTCTCCCATTTGCACATTTTCAGAAAAAATATTCTAATATGTTCAAATAAGGGCTAAGAGCTTTCCCATGACCAAAGCACATGAGATTTAGTGCACAGCCTTTGTGCTATTGCTTGTGGAAGCTCAGGGGCCTCTTCTCCTTATTTCCTGCTCTGGATGGTGGAGAGGAAAGAATGACAGGTGAAGTGATTCTGTATTCCACTGAGATAAACTGCCCAGTGCACAAAGACGAGGTATAGCAAGGAAGTACCTTTCCCCAGGTAGGAACACTAATGTGTCTGTGACTTTGATCATTCTTCAAAAACACTCTCTCACCATCTCACTCTTGACAATTCAGCAGAGAAGCTCTGGCAAGGCAGAGTACTTCCGTGGGGGTCACACTGGTTTTCCCTGGGAGTTGTCCTGGTCTTAAACCTGATCTTTCATTTGATTAAACATCCCCAGGTATTTACGGGATATTGTGTGAGGGACTCTATACTTCCTTGGGCTCACAGATGTTTTCTTTCTTAGCAAGACATGCAACATGGCTGGCCACTGTCTTCTCACCGAAATGGATAGGCAGCAAAAATTCTAGCAAGGATGTATAAACACAGCATGCCCTCATTGGAACCTTTTGGGAGGAGATGGTAGAAGCCAGAGGGGGGTGGGGAGAAGAGAGGGCAGTATCATGGCTGGCCTGACCAGTGAGAGTGTTTCCTGGCCCTGAGTAGGGGCAGCCTCTCTCTTACTGTCTGCCCAGATGGTAGTGTGTTTTGCTCTTCCCTTGGTTGTGGCATAACTAAAGCAAGGCATACAGATAGTAGGGCCTTGGCCTGTGATTCATATATATTCTCATCCCTGAACCACTGGGTGCAAACTGCTGTCTTGCCCCACAACCTTAACTACCTTTCGTTCATGCAGAACTGGGCTCTCTGGTCTTTAGCCAAGCCCAGACCAAGCATTTTTCGTCCTTTCAAACTCTGTGCTTTCTACCCAGTGTCCCTTGAGCCTGGGATCCAGTCCAAGGGGCCCTCCCAGAGCTTCCTGCCCTCTGCCTCTGCCTCTATCCTGGGAGAGGGGTCAGTGCAGGCTCTTACCATGAGGAATGAATACCCGATCCAGAGGCTGCGCCAGCCCAGAGGACACTGTGGGATGGTGATGTCCTGGCTGTGCACAGCAATGGCTTGTGAGGGTGCCTCACACACAGAGCAGCGGCTGATGTACTGGGGAATCTGGGCCCTGCCGACAGGCATCATGGGGATGGGGGCAGTGGTGGAGAGCCAGTAGGATTTATCGTTGCGCCTGGCATAGTGGCACACTTCGTTGATGTTGCAGTAGATGAAGGGCATGGTGCTGAAGCGGGGTAGGCAGGAGCCAGCAAAGCCTAGAAGAAGAGGTGGCAAGGGCAGGGAAGGTCTGGCTGAGGGGCAGGGCTGCCAGGACTTGACTGTGCATTGTACCCAAGCACCTTGGATTTACATTCAACGGCTTGCACCAGACCAGGACAGCCCTCCCCTTCCAATCCTGAGGTGTGTTGATCAAATCCCATTTTAAATGCACCAGGAAAGTTTGATGACAAAAATCTTTTTATAAAGTAACTACTCCCTAATTAATCTGCTTGTAAAGGCAGCAGACTGAGTCTGCCTTTAGAGTTAGCACACATGCAGGCAATATGACAAATTCTTGGGTAATCAAAATTACTCTGTATGTTATATTATTATTATTATTATTATTATTACTAATCACTAACATTTAGTGGATGCTTAAATGCCAAACATTATTCAAAGTATTTCCTATTGGGTAATTCACACACTTCTTACACCACCCTACGTGATAGGTACTAGAATTAGCTTTGTTCCATTAAGGGGGATGTGGAAGCTTAGAGAGATTACCTAAGCAGTAACTTAGAGCCCAGGGAATGTGGCTAGTAAGTGGTAAAGCCAGGATTTGAACCCAGATATGCCTTACTGCAGAGCTGGTGCTTGTAACTCACTATACAGCAGAGGACCCAGCAAGGGCTGAGAGAAGAGAGGAGATTGGCTGTCGGTCCTTGTGGGAAAAGATGGCCAGGGCTGGCTGTCAGAGCTGGTACCTACCCAGGTCCTGGTTGTGGGCTTTCTCCTGTCCCTCCACGAACAGCAAGCTGTAACCCACCCATAGCTGGCTCATCCCGATGGGGCACAGGGGCACCTGTTCCGATTGGCTGTGCTTCACCAGCGTGTAGCCCACCTTCACACTCTGACCAGGCATTCCGGGCCTCCCCAGGGGGCCTTGCTGCCCTGGTGCTCCTGAAGGGGAGAGAGCATAAAAGGTAACTGTGGTGCAGCAAATGATAACATCAGCAACTCACTTTGTGCCACGCACTGTGCAAGGCATATTATAAGCATGTATTATCTCACTCAATCCTCACGACCCTGGGACATGGTACCAGATGAGAAAACTGAAGCTCATACCTTAAGTATTGTTACCCTTTGAACCAAGCCCCTCCCATGTATGCCAGGATCCCTGGGTAGCAAAGGGGAAGTGCAGGGCAGAGGATCATCTGTAGTATAGAGTCAGGGCTCTTAAGAGTGGCAAGAGAACCCAGAGAGACTTGAAACAGTCTTTTGTCTTCTGGAATGTAGGGCATTTCTTCATAATCTCAGAGGGTAGTGGAGAGTGAACGGACTTAGAGCCCAGTTTTTGGGCTTTCTAGGAGTGTCAAGCTCTACTGCCAGGTTTACTGAATCTTAGATTTGAAATGTTTACTCATCCCCTAGCCTCAAACCCTCCCAAGCCCTCTGCCTCCTAATGTGACATCACCAGACCTTCAAATCCTGGAGGGCCTTGCAGTCCAGGGACACCAGGATCACCAAGACCCCCAGGAGGGCCAGGGAGCCCACTGGGGCCATCTTTGCCAGGGATGCCAGGTAAACCTTTGGAGCCTGCAGGAGAGAAAGCCCATGGGGAGGGGTGGGTACTCAATGAAGTGCATTCTGGGGTACCTTACCCAGGAAAGGGGATTTATGTGTCATGCCCAAGACTCACCAGGAGAGGGTGCACTGGCCATCGACTTGCCGTGCACACTGAGCATCTCAGGGCTGCAGCCTGCCTGAGCTAGTCCTGAGTTCACAGGGGCATCTCTGCTCTTGGATGGTGCCGTCAGCTTAGCCCTTCTGAACTCCTTCACACCTATTTCCTCCTCCCTCCTTCTCATCCTCCCAGCAATGATGGGAAGTATGCAGGGCCACTGCTTGCATCCGATATCAGAAATGAGGATACTGAGACCCAGAGAGACTGCTAACTTATCCTGTTGGGGCAAAGCTGGGATTTGAAGCCAGGTTCTCTGTTCCCATCCCTGAGCTTTCTGCACTGCCTCATATGGCCCTGTATTTGCCACCACACTCCCTCCATCTCTCTGCAGCATTTTAGAAAGGGACAAGGTGTCAGGAGTAGTAGCTGTGCTCTGCCTACACATTCTTTTTTTTTTTTACACATTTTCAAACAAAGTCTATTAGGGAAAGAAGAGAGAAAAGAAAGGGAGACGTGCCAGAGCTGGCATGGGCGAAAGAAACCACCTGCCCACACATTCTCTAAAGGCAAGTACAACCACTGCCCTGTTGGAGCTTCGTGAAGGAGCAGTGATGACATTTGATGAAGATGCCCCTTGGAGCTAGAGGTCCAAGCCAGTTGCTCCAGCCTCTCAGTCAAGACCATCTCAGCTCCCCAAGAAGTCGGCTTTCCATGGTGCCCTACTCACCTTGTAGGCCCGCAGGGCCTTGGACTCCAGGGTCCCCTGTGAGGCCAGGAATGCCGTCAATGCCTGGTTGACCCAAGGGTCCAGGAGGAACCTGGACAGCTTCAGCAACTGGTGTTTTTCCAGGAGCACCTTGAGGGCCAGAAGAACCTGTGGCCATGTGGGGGAAATGGGAACATCAGGCTGAGGCAGAGGAGGCCAGGGTGGGGCTCCAGAAGTCTTTTTTTCTGGCTTTCAATTTTTGGCCCCATTTGTCCCCATGGTCCCCTTGGTTCTGACTGGATACCTCCAGGATGGCACTCTCACCACCCTTTACACATGACTTATTTACAACTCTATTTCTCCAATGGCTTGGTAGCCACTTAAGGGCAGAGACTGGGTCATATTAACCCTGTCTCCTCAGGGTCCAGCACAGGTAGAAGGCAGCTGGGAAATGAAAGAGAGCCTGACTAATAGCATAATTTGATTATGAAGTCCTAAACACTTGTGAACATGTATTTCTCCAGTGCTTACTATGTGCGTCCTGGTAGATCTGGGGATATAGCAGTGAATATGACAGACTTTTATGGAGATGATAGTCTGGTGATAAAGATGAACAGTGCATAACTTGGTAAATACTGTTAGGCTTAAAGCAAGCTGTGAGAAGTGCTATGGAGGAAAGGAATAGCACAGTGACAGTAGGAAGGAGCAGAGGGCAGTATGTAGTGAAGGAATCTGCCTGAGAGAGTGATCAGTGGCTTTTCATAAGCAGTGACATTTAAACTGAGACCATTAAAACATTAGAAGGAATTCCCATTTGGAGAGTAGAGGGACAAGTGCATTCCAGGAAGTAGAAGTAGAACATGCAAAGGTCCTGTAGTAGGCCAGGACTTGGTGGGTTTTGTTGTTTTGTTTTGTTTGCTAATTGAAAGAGACCAGTGTGGCAGGAGCACACTGAGAAGTCAAGGAAAAGGGCTGGTGATGGGGATGAAGAGGGAGGTGTCACATAAGGCTTTGTGGGCCACAGTTGGTTTAACCTTATGCCATGGGAAGCCACTGGATGCTTTGTTTTTATAAGACCTCTCTGACCACTGGAAAAATAATTGTTGGGGTGAGGGAGGAAGGGCGATGCATGAGACATGTTGGTGACTTGGATCTAGGGGCAGCAGTGGACGTGATGCAAGGCAAGCCACATTTCAGAGGTACAGTCCTCAGGGCTTGCTAATGGACTTCATGGGTGTGAGTGGAGTGGGGTGGTAGAACATGGGAAGGATGGCTCTTCTTTTTTTTTTCTTGAGTTGGAGTCTCACTCAGTCGCCCAGACTGGAGTGCAGTGGCCGCTCCTGACCACCGCAGCCTCGACCTGCTGGGCTCCGGCAATCCTTCCGCCTCAGCCTTCCAAGTAGCTGGAACTACAGGTGCGCTACCATGCCCAGCTAATTTTTGATTTATTGTAGAGATGAGGTCTCGCCGAGTTGCCCAGGTGGGTCTCGAACCCGTGGGCTCAGGCAATCCACTCGCCTCGGCCTCCCAAAGCGCGGGATTACAGGCTGAGCCACCGAGCCCGACCAGGAAGGATAGTTCTGCACTTCTGGATCGAGCAAATGGGTGGGTGGTGATCTGAAGGCAAACCTAGTACCCACAACACAGAGATATTGCAGAGAGAGGAAGTCAGTGGCAGGATCCATGGTGGCAAAGCAGCAGTGGCCTTCAATCTTGGGAGCTGATAGAGGCAGAAGTATCATCAAGGTGGAGAAACTACCTCTCTGGGGGAAGCTTGATGTAGCTGCTTCAGACATCCCGGCTTTCTCGGTGTGATGAGCAGTGTCTCCTGAAGGACACTTATCCCCAGGCCCCTCCCTCATGCTTGGGATCAGCCCAGCACATGCTCTCAACTCACCTCTTGGCCCTGCCTTTCCTTTCATCCCAGGAAATCCTGGGTCTCCAAGTGGCCCAACCTTGCCTGGAGTCCCCATGAACCCGGGCTCACCTCTCATGCCTGGCAAAGTCCAAAGGAAGTAAGTTAGGTCCTGGAGTGGTGTGGATGAATACTAGGCAGGGGTGCGGTAGGGAAGAGCATTAGTTGCTGGCCTGCAGGAAGAAGTCAAATCTGACCATGGATGGGGAAGGCAGCCAGCCAAGCAGCCATACCTTTCAGTCCTAGCTCTCCAGGGAGGCCAGAGAAACCTGGTATTCCTTGGTCTCCCTTGGGCCCTTGAGGACCAGGAATTCCAGGAAAGCCAGGGTCTCCAGGGTCGCCTTGATCCGAGGATGGCCCAGGGGGACCTGGGGGTCCAGGGGGGCCTGGGCGGCCTAGGGGTAAGATTGGAAGAGGGATGAGGGGCAGGTGAACAGAAAGTGGCCACTGCTGAAGGTCTAGGGACTGATAGGATGCCAAAACCCATTCTCAGGAAAGAGAATATGGGGTCCCAGTGCCCAGATTTTCCCAAACCCTTTTAGCAAAATGCAGCCACTTCCAGTTCCCTGTGTTTCAGCTTGAGGGAGGAGTGTGAGGCCAAGCAGGCCCATGCATGTCCAGAAACTGGGACTGGGCTGCACTGTACACAAGACCTTCCCAAACACCAGGCAAAAGGTGGTGCCCAGTCCTTTTTGGGGCTTCCTGTCTTTACCTCGTTCTCCATCTAGGCCTGGTCGCCCGGGGTCACCAGGCTGTCCTGCTATGACTGAGGGCAAGGAGATGCCTGGGGCACCAAGGAGACCAGCAGGGCCTGGAAGACCTGGGAAACCTGCAAAGAATAAACAAAAAGTGCTAGATGGGCTTTATGTGACCAGTAGAATCAGGCTCTTTCTGAGAAAATGGAAGTTCACACAGAAAAAATGGCAGCAGTCAGGTAGGAGCCAGACCAGAGAACACCAGCAGAGGGCTCTTCTCTCCTCATCCTACCTTCTCGACAAGCAGACAGACATGTTAACTGACAAGGGCTCAGAGACTCCCCTCTTCCAACTGAAGCAGCATTTTACTGGGATAGAGCTACGGAAAGTTCTAGCTCCCAATCTCACTGGTAATGGAAATATTTTAGGATATTTTCCCCAAAATCAGGAAAAACAGAAGGCATGACTAAGCACCTGGAATTTAAGTTTCCCAAGTGTCTTAAAAGCTACTGTCCCTGTCAAACATTTCATAAGTTAGCCAGTTATGTCTGATGTTGCACAGAGATTGCAGATAGAGGTAGACCACAGGCCCCGGACAGTCAGAACGGACACTGGCCCAATCAGGAGGAAGGCAGCAAGAGTGCTGTGCCTCCCTGTAACTTCAAAGACTATCTTCTGGGGCTTCTAGGCAAACTGGCAAACAATCTTTTAGAGGTAATATATGATATTAGCCAAATGGTTGCTTGATTGCCTTTAGAACAAATTTCTCTGTATTAAATCCCTCCCCCCTTTTTTAGAGTTGATACAGAATACTCATTTGCTCAAATTTAATACTGCTTTACATGTTTTTGTTTGTGGAACATTTATATGTTCAAAACAAAAACTTTCATCTCATTACAAAAAAATGTAATGTTCACATATCAAACACACCGTTGATAATCTTGATGGGAAAACACATCAAAGCTATATGTAAATGTTCGTAGTATACACACAGAATGGAAGAAACATTTATTACTTTGGAATATTCTAGAAGATATTTAAATGAAGAGAAATAGATTCAAATTGGTTGATAAACTGATCTGGTGGTTGATAGTCTTAATTTTTGTTTGTGAAGAGAAAATCCAAACATGTTAATGTTGAATTTTATTCTTTTGTGGCAAAAATCCAAAAATGTTAATGTTGAATTTTTCATATTAATCTAAAAACATTGTTAATCCAAGAAAACATGTGACAAAAAAGATGGTAGATGGTTAATTCAGGTGTCTTAAATCCCTCGTTCATTAATTGAATTCTGAAAACATGTAGAAAAAAATTTTTTGAGAAAAATCTCTCAATTATTTGAGATCTAGAAAAAAAATAAACACAAAAGGAAAAAAGTCAGTTGCAAAGCCAGTTGGTACTTATAGCATAGTCAGTTATGCCTTGGTGAACCTTTGGAATAGTTTTCTTTTTCCCCGAGGTAAAAATCTGAAAAGAAAGACATATTGTATACTTTTTTCCTGAAACATATAACTGTATAAATATATATAGCATATGAAGGGGACCCCAAAAAACAAAATTACCTTTTGGAGGGTGAACCCCTTATAGTACAGACTTTCCCTGCTAGATAAGTGTTCTAGGAACCCATTGGTATCAGTGTACCACCAGGTGGCATCGTTGTGAGAGGCTGTGTTCAGTTTTGGTTAATTTTTTTTCAAAGATTCTCCTTTTTTTTTTTCTTTCAAAGAGGCATTAAATAGTCTTCCTTTACATAGATACATTTATAAGAAATAATTATCACTACTGGACAGTTCTTCACTTTGGCATTTGTAGCTGGCCTACTTCTGACACTGAGGAAATGATATTAATCTTCATTAACTGTACTTTGTACTTATTAAGGCACTTAGTCAATATTATCGTGTTTGCATCTAGATAGACTCCAGGATATTCTAGGCAAAACAAACATTGTTTTTGTGCTTAAAGAATTATTACTCTGAGGTCAAAGGGGATGGCTTGGATTACAGGGATGAGACAGACATAAAAATTTTTTTGACATAATTTTTTAAAATATAACTGTAATATAGTAAATGTAAGTTTTTGAGAGATATATCTGGAAATGTGTTTGTAACTTGAAAGATGGATGGGATTAATCAGGGAACACTATGGGAACACTATAAGAGGGAATGGTAGCCAGGCTCGGTGGCTTAGCCTGTAATCCTGCACTTTGGGAGGCCAAGGTGAGTGGATTGCTTGAGCCTGTGGGTTCGAGACCCGCCTGGGCAACTTGGCGAGACCTCCTCTCTACAATAAATCAAAAAATTAACCAGGCATGGTAGCATACGCCTGTAGTTCCAGCTACTTGGAGGGCTGAGGTGGAAGAATCACTGGAGCCCAGCAGGTCGAGGCTGCGGTGGCCGGGAGCAGTCACTGCACTTCACTCTGGGCGAGAGTGAGACTCCAACTCAAAAAAAAGGAAAAGAAAAGAAAAGAGGGAATGGTGGAAGAGCTAGTATAAAGATAGAGGAAGAGTCTGGTTTTAGCCTGTGTGGCAGAGGAGGCGGCATATGCGTGAGTAGGAGTTGAGACAGCAAAGAAGAGGAGCTGAGTAGGAGGGTGGAAGTGGAAGGTGTAGGTGAAGATGAGAGTGGATAGTACAGTAGGCCTACCTGCCAGAGAGCTGAAACCAATAGTGAGATGTTTAACAGTACGGAGGGTGAAGATCTGTCTGTGAGTTGTAAGGGAGCAGAATCTTAACAAATCACATGGTGAACTTGAAAAGATACTTAGCTACATTGTCCTAATGGAGTAGAGAGGAACTAGGAAGCCAGGAAAAAAGAACATGATGTTAGTCCAACAATCAAATTACCAGAATTTAGACAAGGGATTTACTAATGGAGTTGGAGAACTTAAGAAGAATTTCAGCAGCAGGATGAAATCAAACTAGTGACTCCCCTTGGTAACCAGGAAACATTAAGTTCTAGCTCACATAGTCCTCTTCTGAGCCTACCCTGGATGCCATGGCGAAGGACTCTTGTTCTGAACTCCTTTAGTTCCCCAGGCAGACCTTGATGTTGGTGTTTTAGCTGTTGTATTGACACTTTGTGTATGTGCCCATCTTTCTAGACTACAACATCCTCAAGAGCAAAGACTGTGTCTTAGTCACTTTTTTTTTTTTTTTTTGTTTGAGTCTCACTCTGTC